CAGTGGTCGCTTGATCGGCGGGAATCCCGTCTCTTATCTTGTTTTGCCCGATGCCGTGGTTCAGGGCTTTGATGTGCTACAGAGTTTAATGGTTGAGCAATTTCAGTAGGAGTTGTCTTGTTGGTCACATTGCCGGCTTTAACCCTCAAGGCATCATCTTCCACTTTACAGTATTCTTCAACTTTCTTCATCAACGACCAAACTGTTTTGGGGTTCGTCTGGTCAAAAAGCTGCGGAGGGCACTGTCGGGATGCAGCCCCATCTTGAAGGCGGTGATGGCCATGGAGTCATTGCAAGCATCGTTTACCAGATTGAAACATTCCCAATATCGCGCTGAGTAGGCACGAAGGGTTTCCCCCGGTTGAATCTGCATTGCCTGGAGGGAATCGGTTTGCTTTGGCTGGACCTCATTAGTGATAAACCTTGCCCTGAAGGATTTTTGGAGTTGGTGGAAGCTTTTAATCGAAGCCGGCTCCAGTTTGTAATACCACCTAACCGCTAGTGGTCCCAAACTGCTCGGAAATATTCTACACATCAAAGCCTTATCATCTGCATGCAGTGTCATGGCTTGCTTGTAATGGCGAATGTGATCGGTGGGGTCTGATTTACCGTCGTACAAGGTGAATGACGGCGCTTTGAATTTCTTGGGTAGCACTGCCTTTGCAATCCGTCGGACAAAAGGATCGTGTTGATCTTCATCCGAACTGTTTATTCTTCGCTTATGCCTTATACGGGGACTCTCTTCAGAAGAATTGGAAGTTTTAGATCGTCCCTTCTTCTTGGGCTCCGGGGATAATGAGCCGGAGTCGCTATCAGTGTCTTGTTATCGGGCTCGAGATCGTCGACCACCTGCCCTCACTGGTCGTTCCGGATCTTGGCGTACAGCTTGTTTGGACTTTGCCACTTCCAAGGCCAAATCCTGGTGGAGACGTTCGTTCTCTGCGATCATGTTCTCCAACCTATGTTCGTTTTGCTTTGCTTGTTCCATGATCGCCTGCATTGCCTCATGCTCTGGAGTCGAGGGTGAGGCAAGGTTCAAAGCGCGTCTTGCAGGGATAGTCTCCGGTCCAAGCATGTTTGTTGGAGTGAGGTCGTCTCTCTATGTGTTTTCATTAGTGACTATCGAAGGGTCTTCCGTTACGCCCGCCATGGATGTGTTTGAGTATTCCCACAGACGGCGCCAATTGTGGAGAAGTGGTTTGGAAATACTCTTCTGATCCTGGGGGACGCTAGTGATCCTCTTCTAGTCACCTGAAAAGAAATAAACACCCCGGTCGAGTGTGCCAGAAAGCACTTCGACGGGCAAGTCAATCTTTACACTCAAGTTTATTTGTATTCTCAATTAAGTACAATAGTTCTCACATACCTCTTTCTGGCTAATGTTCTTCTATTTATATCTTTTCTTTCTTGGGCCTCGAGATTAGGTCCATTTCCAATTCTACATTCGGCATATTTTGTAGTAGTCCGCTCTCTACTTGGCCCCTTGCTTAATCGGCTATTTGGCCGAGTAGAGTTGCATTCGAGCGTGTGAGCATACGCCGAGTACCACGTATTTTGACTCTCCCAGGTTCGACTATCCAGAATCTCTATGACTCCCAGTACTCGGCCCCCACAATTCCATATTCTTTACAAAACTCACCAAAAGGTGATTCATATTCACCACCTCTATCACTTCTTAGTTTTTTAATTTTCTTACCAAGTTGATCTTTAACTTCATTCTTAAATTGAATGAAAGTTTCCAAAGCTTCATCCTTGGTTCAAATTAGATAAACATAACTATGTCTAGTATAGTCATCTATGAAAGTGATAAAATATTTTTTCCCACCTTTGGTTTGAATTGATTTAAAATCACAAGTCATTATGAATTAATTCAAGTGGTTCTGTAGTTCTTTCAATTGAATGGAAAGGAGTTTTAGTTAATTTTGCCTCAACGCAAATTTCATATTTATGATTTAAATCAATGTCAAATTTAGGTAAACATTCCATATTAATTAATCTACGCAAATATCCATAATTAACATGTCCTAATCTACCATGTCACAAATTTGAAGACTCAAGCAAATAAGAAGAAGATGTATTTTTATTAATAACAGATGGTACAACAATCATTACATTCATTTTGAAAAGACCATCAGTTTCATGACCCAAACTCGCCCCTAAAGGTTTAGTGTCGTAACCGGCCAGTAATCCAAAGATTACCTGCGGCCTCAAAGACGAAATTCAAAATATTCAAGTATAATTGGGGCCTGAAGCGGAAGCAAAACAAAAATAATAATGTCCATTGAGTTGTACGTACATGATCAACTGTAGTAATTAAAACACTTTTAACACTTACATATACATGTACGAAGACATATTTTATAACATATCTCACACACTTCATGAAGGAATTTTAACAAAATACAAAGACCAACTCAAACCTGACAAAATAAAATAAAGCCTCTACAAGGAGGTACTTCTTGGGTGACTTGACAAATAGGCAGACTCCGAGGCAAACTCTAACGCTTTTTTCTAATTGCTCACCTATATATATATATAAGGAGTGAGCTAACGCCCAGTGAATAATACCAAAGTAAAGAGGCGGTATGAATGAGATTCTTAATCAAGTAAATCGCATTAATACATATTACATGTAAATCAAATTAGAACGACTTCAGGTCCATTATTTCCATAGTCATATCTAGACATATATTCATATTCATATTCATATTCATGAACACCTTTTTATTCCAACGACCTCTGGCCCATCACATTCATATTCAAACGACATTCAGTCCATCATAATATTCTAGTGGCCTTTGGCCTATTATAATATTCAAACAGCCTTTGGCCTGTCATAATATTCAAACGACCTTCAGCTCAATATAATATTCAAATGGCCTTTGGCCCAATTATAATATTCAAACAGCCTTTGGCCCAATCATTTATATCAAACGACCTTTGGCTCAATCATAATATTCAAACGGACTTTGGCCCAACTATTTCCATATTCGTATCCATGTGTGTCTCGTACCCTTGATCATGATCATGTTTGTATTCAATTCGTCTTATGCAAAAGACTGTCATTGGGAATATTCATCCATAATTCAACATACAAATCCATAAGGCTCATACAGAAGTAACGTTTGTAAAATAACGTACTTGAATATATCTTTACTAAGATATTACTTACAGTGATCTGCCGGATGATTTGCCCTTGCGCTTGACCCTACACATAACATATTGGGTCACAAATGATTCAATCAGTTCTTAATCTATTTACTTCTCTTAGGCCTCTTCCTTCTCTCTCTCTCTCTCTCTCTAAATTTATTTATTATTTTTTAATTTGTAATATTGAGAGTATGTTCAACATTAGTTACAGTTCATAATCAGCATTAGAGATTAAAATTATATGTTATTCTAAGCATTATAGTTTGTTAATGTGATGGGCCAAAATTCTTCTTTGTGCTGCATTTCTATTTTCTACAAAGCACATGCCTTATTATATTGATAGAATTTAATTTGCGGGTCATACATTTTGATTTCCATATGTGGTCTTTAGTTGTAATGGAAAAACTAGAATCAGCTCAATCAAGTTCCAGAAATCTAATTCTCAGTGGAATGGTAAATTCATGTTCTCTTATGTCTATTATAATTTATATGTATGTCAATGTTTGGTTTAGAGGTTCAAGTTCACTCAGTAATAAGGATGGGCAAAAGTCGAGTGTGTCGTGTACTTATACATAACCTTGACAAACAAAATTAGCTAAACAGAGAGAAGCACTAATTTAGTAAAAGCACAAAACTTGGATTTATTTTGGTTGTGCTTTGTTTGATATGATGAAATTGGAGAAAAGTAGCAGCCAAGAAGTTGTGAACATGAAGAAATAGATGATGTATTTGAGGTAGATTTATATAATTGTGATATATTCAATGTTTTTCTCTAGGAAGAAGAGTTATACAAGTCTTGGTTAAAAGTTTGCATAGTTTAAGCTAGCACGCACATTTAGGCTTTGGATTATAGATTTGTAGACCTAAGAAAATAAAGGGGAAGAAGCTGAATTTATTTCTTTAATTTCATTTTCAATTCCCTTGATAAATCCAAGATCTGAAATAGCATTAGAATGTTGCTGTTTATAATGTATGCAATTCAGTTTCTATTGTCATGTACATTCACTAATTGATTGTGGTAAAGTAACAGAATTATTTGAAATGTTTGGTTGCTTTCACAATGGTTTTAAAGTAGCACATTGAACAACTACAAGTGAAAATCTACCAGAGGCTAGAGGCATTAACAATTCTAATTGAAATTTTCCAATTCATTCTTTTGCTTCTATGTTCAAGTATTTGGGAAAAAATATAGTCATTTCAATTCTTCATCAGTGTGAGTCACATTCATTCCTGCGCAAGCTAAGATTGGTAATTTATTCGAACAACTGTGACTTACATATTGGAAGTTTGTTATGGAACGATGGATATCTTTTAAGTATGCTCTTGTTCTTGGAAATCATACCTTACAACTATTTGTTATTTGTTGTCAATGTAGAAAACCTTTTTCTTTTCTCCGTTCAATTGGATTTGCAGCCGGTACTTCTGTCTGTGCCAAGTAACAAGTCCTCGCATCCTACATTTTATCTTTGTGCTTGTGCCTTTTTGTGACTTGAATTACATTACTCTCTTTGTTGTTAAGCTTGCTCATCTTTGTTTAAGCACACTATTTGATCACTTAATCTCATATTCATGATGTCTCTACTACTCTCTGCTACAATGTTAAATCTATATACTATGTTATAATGGCAGGGATACGTGGGATCTAATAAGAAAAGAAATAGAGTTCTTCATTCAGTACTGAAGTCCACTATATAGACATGTTTCATCCACACACAAACTCTCTTATGTACAACAAGGTTGCTTCAAAACAAAAAACCATCTACAAAAAATAGTGAAGTTAGATCTGCTTTTCGAATTTCGTCAACACTTCAATTAGGACCCCAATAGCTCAAATACATCACTGTCCAGAGAGATTCCTCAGCCTGTTTGTATCTGTTATCATTGCTATCCTTATCAGCTTTGTTATAGGCCAATTGATTATAAGCACCGACATTTGTTCTCACCTGCTTAGAAGATCCAGAAGGGAAGGCAGAAGTAGAAGCAGAGTCATGACTTGCTTTCATGGCTAAGTCACACTTCGGAGACTTCTCTTTGATTCTCTGCATCACTGGTAAAAACACCCTGCTCATGCTCTTTGATATCGTTCAAAACCAATAAGACTACGTAGTCTCTTGAAAGAGAGTTGAAAGATGGCTTCAAAATATAAGAGGTTTGGTGGTTTGTGGCCCTCAAGTTTTAGGAAGGTGGGGGCTGAATTTGGCTTGAAGTTATATTTATATATAGACGACATAGAAAAGACAAAGATGGATCCAACATTTAAAAAATGCTCCACCCGTTGAATGAAATCTAGTGTAGATTTGATTGATGTCTATTCCATCCTATGGTTCAATGCCTTCAAATTAATGGTTATGATTGAAGAACCACTTGGCCTCATGAACATATTTCATATTTTAGCGCATAAAAACAGTAACAATGTTGGAGTTAAGCCAAAAACATAGTAAAAAATAATTGCCACTCAATTAAACTGTATCATGATTTAAGGCATGTTTTGCTAATATTTGTTTACACTAATAAATTAATATAACCAATATTTGTTTACACACATAAATGTTATGTCCAGGTTCCAGTGGATCTTGTCATTGACAATTCTGTTCAGGTTGATGTGGCAGGAAGTGAATGCAATGCAGGCAAATATGGGGCTTGAATTTCAGAGAAACAAGGAGAGGTTTGTTTTTCTGAAGTGGGGTTCCAATGTTTTTCACAATATGCTCATTGTTCCTCCTGGTTCTGGTATTGTCCACCAAGTAAGACTTTGGCATCATTAGTGCATCAAGGGTATTTCTATATCTAGATGTTATACTGTTGTTAAAGGCAAATTCTCATGGCAAGGTGCAAGAATTTGACCTTAAGGTGGTATGAATGGTTTACTCTTAAAAGGGCCAAAACATTAGATAGGTATAGACTCAATACATGAGGTTTGCAATGTTTAACTATTTATGGGGCTTCCATAGTAAAGCCACATTTACCTCTAGCCTCTTGTAAATCATAGTCCAAATTTTCTCATTTTTTTAGCACTATAATATTATTTGGTAGGTTTGGCATTTAGCAAGTGACTCTGATAATTTTCAAGTTAATCTTGAATACCTTGGACGGGTTGTTTTCTACACAAATGGCATTCTGTACCCTGATAGCGTGGTTGGAATTGATTCCCATACAAATATGATTGTTGGCTTAGGAGTTGTTGGCTGGGGAGTTGGAGGAATTGAATCTGAGGCTACAATGCTTCGCTAGGTATTTTGAGATAATAATGTATTTTCTTTATGATTTTCTATACGCTTGTGCCAATTGTTAGTGTTTGCAGTTATTCTTTGGTAGATAGACATGCATGAAATGGGTAGCTGTTTTTTCTTCTTTTTCCTCCAAAGGTGCAAAAGAAAATGCAGCTTCTGCTTCTTCAAAACCTGCTGCTGGTGCTGGTGATAGTAACTGCAATGTATCCCCCCCTCCCAAAAAAAGAGTAAATTCTTGAGTTTTTATTTATTTATTTATGGGTACCTAGAATTATGGTTCAACAGTAATAATAATATATATTCACAAAAAGATCGTACACAAGCTGTATTGAAATTTATCATTTTTAAATATTGTGCTCATTAGTGACCTTCTAATTACAATGTCATTGACATTGAGCTGCTGTGGCATCTAATTGTTAATTACTTCCAAAAGAATTAAGATCAAGCAGAAATAATTAATGTTTCTATTTTGGTTTGTTGAATTAACTTTTTAGTTTATTCATATGCATCAGCGGTTTCTGGATTAATTTGTGTTTTTATTTTTCAGGTCAGAATTTTTTTGGAGAGATGCAAAATATGGTCCAAGAATTAAAGAACTTAGTTTTTTTAAGTTTTTTCATTTTTTAATATATGTAAGCACAAATAATTTTTTTATTTAATTTCTTTGTATATAGTTTTGAATATTTAATTTCCATTTATGAAATATATTACGTTATTCTATTCAATATGTGGTTATGATTCAAAATATAGTATAGAGTGTGTATTACATTCTTCAAATGTGCATACAAAAATAATATTGATTATTTTTCAAATATGTAGCACATTTTTTTTATCACAGATTTTATTAGTTATTAATCACACTTAAAAGATGTGATCTAAATGTTATTAATCACACTTAAAAGATGTGATCTAAATGTTATTAATCACACTTAAAAGATGTGATCTAAATGTTATTAATCACACTTAAAAGATGTGATCTAAATGTTATTAATCACACTTAAAAGATGTGATCTAAATGTTATTAATCACACTTAAAAGATGTGATCTAAATGTTATTAATCACACTTAAAAGATGTGATCTAAATGTTATTAATCACACTTAAAAGATGTGATCTAAATGTTATTAATCACACTTAAAAGATGTGATGTAAATATTTTTAATCACACTTAAAAGGTGTGATCTAAAGTTTTTAATCACACTTAAAAGGTGTGATCTAAAGTTTTTAATCACACTTAAAAGGTGTGATCTAAAGTTTTTAATCACACTTAAAAGGTGTGATCTAAAGTTTTTAATCACACTTAAAAGGTGTGATCTAAAGTTTTTAATCACACTTAAAAGGTGTGATCTAAAGTTTTTAATCACACTTAAAAGGTGTGATCTAAAGTTTTTAATCACACTTAAAAGGTGTGATCTAAAGTTTTTAATCACACTTAAAAGGTGTGATCTAAAGTTTTTAATCACACTTAAAAGGTGTGATCTAAAGTTTTTAATCACACTTAAAAGGTGTGATCTAAAGTTTTTAATCACACTTAAAAGGTGTGATCTAAAGTTTTTAATCACACTTAAAAGGTGTGATCTAAAGTTTTTAATCACACTTAAAAGGTGTGATCTAAAGTTTTTAATCACACTTAAAAGGTGTGATCTAAAGTTTTTAATCACACTTAAAAGGTGTGATCTAAAGTTTTTAATCACACTTAAAAGGTGTGATCTAAAGTTTTTAATCACACTTAAAAGGTGTGATCTAAAGTTTTTAATCACACTTAAAAGGTGTGATCTAAAGTTTTTAATCACACTTAAAAGGTGTGATCTAAAGTTTTTAATCACACTTAAAAGGTGTGATCTAAAGTTTTTAATCACACTTAAAAGGTGTGATCTAAAGTTTTTAATCACACTTAAAAGGTGTGATCTAAAGTTTTTAATCACACTTAAAAGGTGTGATCTAAAGTTTTTAATCACACTTAAAAGGTGTGATCTAAAGTTTTTAATCACACTTAAAAGGTGTGATCTAAAGTTTTTAATCACACTTAAAAGGTGTGATCTAAAGTTTTTAATCACACTTAAAAGGTGTGATCTAAAGTTTTTAATCACACTTAAAAGGTGTGATCTAAAGTTTTTAATCACACTTAAAAGGTGTGATCTAAAGTTTTTAATCACACTTAAAAGGTGTGATCTAAAGTTTTTAATCACACTTAAAAGGTGTGATCTAAAGTTTTTAATCACACTTAAAAGGTGTGATCTAAAGTTTTTAATCACACTTAAAAGGTGTGATCTAAAGTTTTTAATCACACTTAAAAGGTGTGATCTAAAGTTTTTAATCACACTTAAAAGGTGTGATCTAAAGTTTTTAATCACACTTAAAAGGTGTGATCTAAAGTTTTTAATCACACTTAAAAGGTGTGATCTAAAGTTTTTAATCACACTTAAAAGGTGTGATCTAAAGTTTTTAATCACACTTAAAAGGTGTGATCTAAAGTTTTTAATCACACTTAAAAGGTGTGATCTAAAGTTTTTAATCACACTTAAAAGGTGTGATCTAAAGTTTTTAATCACACTTAAAAGGTGTGATCTAAAGTTTTTAATCACACTTAAAAGGTGTGATCTAAAGTTTTTAATCACACTTAAAAGGTGTGATCTAAAGTTTTTAATCACACTTAAAAGGTGTGATCTAAAGTTTTTAATCACACTTAAAAGGTGTGATCTAAAGTTTTTAATCACACTTAAAAGGTGTGATCTAAAGTTTTTAATCACACTTAAAAGGTGTGATCTAAAGTTTTTAATCACACTTAAAAGGTGTGATCTAAAGTTTTTAATCACACTTAAAAGGTGTGATCTAAAGTTTTTAATCACACTTAAAAGGTGTGATCTAAAGTTTTTAATCACACTTAAAAGGTGTGATCTAAAGTTTTTAATCACACTTAAAAGGTGTGATCTAAAGTTTTTAATCACACTTAAAAGGTGTGATCTAAAGTTTTTAATCACACTTAAAAGGTGTGATCTAAAGTTTTTAATCACACTTGAGTGATGTCCCTTTGAGCACTTTTTGGACTTGAACTTACCTGTGAGGATGGTGTTGTAACAACCTCTTGTGATTGGACCTCAGCTTCTCTTTGAATTTGTGGTTCAGTATCCAAGATTGGAGACTCACCATTGTCATCCTCATTTGTTGCTGGAGTAGGGGAACTTGTATCATCTATAACCACATTGATAGATTCCATTAAAGAAGAAGTGCTTAGGTTATAGACTCGAAAAGCCCTATTAGTGGTTGAATACCCTAGAAAAATACCTCCATCACTTCGGGAGTCAAATTTGCCCAAAGGCTCTCTATCTTTGAAAATGTAACACTTACTCCCAAAAGTTTTGAAGTATTTTACGTTAGGTTTCAATCCCTTCCACAATTCATATGGAGTTTGTAAAGTGTCGAGCCTTAAATACACACGATTTATGACATAAACAGTCGTATTTAGGGCTTTAGCCCAAAACTTTGGAAGAAGTTTCTTACTAAGGAGCATGACCTAAGCCATCTCTTGAACAACCTTGTTCTTCCTCTCAACCACTCCATTTTGTTGTGGAGTAATAGGTGCAGAAAAATTCATGCTTAATTCCATGCATGTCACAAAAATTCAAAAATGAACTGTTTTCAAACTCACGACCATGATTAGTTTGAATTCTTATGATACGTCCAATGGAAACACCCTATTCATTTTGGATTTTAAGGACTAAGGCCTAGAAAAAAATCAAACGTATTAGATTTTTCCCTTAAAAAATTTACCTACGAAAATCCAGTAAAATCATCAACTGTTAAAAAAATGTATCTTTTACCTCCAATACTTTCAGTGTGAGTGGGTCCCATAAGATCCATATGAACCAATTCAAGAGGATGTTTGGTTGTAAAGCTGTTCACATTTTTATGAGGGGCACGGGTTTGCTTCCCAAGTTGACATGGTCCACACACATGATTCAGATTCTTTCCCAGTTTAGGTACTCCTCTTACAAGCTCTTTGTTGGCTATCTTAGTTAGGTCTCTGACATTCATGTGACCTAATCTTTGATGCCACAAATCAATGTTACTTATGATGGCTGAGTGGCAAGTGAGATCATTAGTAGTAACAATCCCATAGCAGTTATCAGATGTGCGAACCCTATGCAAGACATTATTTCCCTTTTTATCCAAAATTTCACATTTATTTTTTGAAAACAATACTTCATGGTGGGAATCACACATTTGACTGATGCTCAAAAGATTTGCTTTAAGACCATCAACAAGTAAAGCATTTTCAAGCTTGGGAAGACTAGCCACACTTACGGAGCCCTTACCAATGACTCTAGAAGTGCCACCATCTCCAAAGGTAATAATTCCACCTTCATATTTTTCAAGGGAGGTGAAGTAGGATTTGTCACCTGACATGTGACGAGAGCACCCACTATCAAGATACCACATGTGTGAGTCACATGCTTTTAGAGCACCCAAATCTTTTTGGTTTTAACAAAATCAGGTCTGGCGGTCTTGGTAAATGTCTTGGCGTTGTGAACACCCTCATGTATCTTGGTGTTCCACCTAAACATGTAAGGTTGTCTCGTAACCCAAAAAGTATTCGAATTTTTACCCTTTTGAGACACCTTACCAAACAATTTCAAAGCAATAAGAACGAATGTGGCCATACCTACCACAATGATGACAAATAAAAACAGGTTTTACCTCCCTTTTGTTGATCTTACCCCCTTTAGGTAGATGAAGAGAGGGATCACCCTGGTGTACCTTCAGCCTTCCCTTTGCTTGAGTCTTCGGGTCATGTGATGTAGAGGCCTGTCCCTTGTGAGCTATCGCATTACCATAGCCTAGCCCGCTTTTGTCATAACCCATTTGTTGAGACCCGAGGATGTATCCTAATGATTTGGAACCTTTGTTCCACATGGCAATTGTGGCTTTAGCAACTTGGAGTTCTTCATCTTTATGACAAACCAACTCTTTCAATGTAGCTTGTGACATCTCAAGACTTTCAAGCGTATCTTCATATGTGGAATACACTTTCAGGAGTTCATTCCTTTCAGTTTCACAAGATAAAAGTTTCCCACATAGTTCTTGCCTGTCACTAGAGATCTTGATAACATTCTACTTTGCTGTTTCAAGTTCTTCTTTTAGCTTGACATTCTCACTTTCACATGCTTTGAGCTTAAAAGTGAGTTTGTCATTGATCTTGGACAAATTCAGAGATTCATCGTAAAGCTTTTCGTAAGCTTGTTGTAGGTCGTCTCCATTAATCTCATCATTGTCTTCTGATGTTTCATCATCTTCTTTTTGCTCCTCATTCTCGTTGACCTCATCCAGTCGAGCAACTAAGGCAGGAAAGGTGATAGATGGTGGTGAAGATGAATCTCCTCTTTCATGAAATTGGCTCAGAATGTCTCATGCATCTTTAGCCTTTGTGCAGTGAGCAATCCTTTGTTATTCTTCATCAGAAATTACTTCACGAATAGTAATCAGAACTCTCTGATTGCTCGGATTATTAGCACTTTCAACATCCTCTTCAATGGCTTGTCAACCTTCCGGGTCGAAAGCTCTCAGAAACGCCCTTATTCTGATCTTTCAATACAAGTAGT